CTGAAAAGACTAAAGTAGCACAGTCTACTACTGAGATAATTACAGCAGTTCTCCAATTGTGACCTTTAGAAACTTTTATTGTACCTCCCTTATCTGACAAACAAACATGGATCCGTCCAGCCCCTTTTGCCAACAGTACATTATGGTCATTACTGTAGATTTGAGCAACTTTAGGTGAGAAGCAATTTTCTGATTTAAGATCACATTAATGCCTTATTGGAATGTTTTCTTGTCTTACCCAAGTTGAAGACTAGTAAAGAGAAATCGGCTGGTGTCTGATGTCAGCTTTATGCCACAGCAAAACTAAAACCAGTGACGATGTCTCTGATTGAAGCATTTCAGATCTTTTTATAACATACTAATGACTCGTCTGTGTCCCTTTGTAGATTTTTCTGACAACAGCTGAGACTGGAAGGCCAGGAACATTGTAACATGGCATCTCTGCAGAAAGCAGCGTCACACTTTTCTCAAAATAAATACACAACACACGCATGACTGACCGCTGATTATACAATCCATGTCATTTTTGTCTGTTGCGTAATGCATCGCAGCCGTGCGACCTTGTTTTCCCCTTTGGACTAAAGCCTGTTTAATTGACTCATAGATTTTAGTTTGCCGGACCTGCAGAAGAACAGTCGCCTTCGAGCTGTCAAGTGTGTGTTCGCAGATATATTATTAGGAACAGCAACAACCCCACTGTTGGTAAAGGTCCTGAGAGGAAGTGAGGGGTCAGAGAAGGGGAGCGATGAAGCACAGGGGGAAAAACATTTAGTTGTCTGTTGTAAAAAATAAATAAATATATATAGTCAATATGATGTTGCTCTCAGAGATAATTATGAGAAAGTCTGACAGGGTGAACAAGCAGGTGTCTACCTGCAAAGAGCAATACCTTCTGCTCTACAAATCCATAGAAGAAAGAGAGGATTCAATTTAAATCATTTATCCCCCAAAAGATTTAAATCTGAAATGATTATCAACAAAATTTCAAATTCATAAGGAGCAAAAAGAGGGCGATCCGGTCCAGATCAGTGTGAACAAACTCTCACATTCTGCTCTCTTATCTCCTGCTGTTAAATGTTTGCTTTGTGGCTCTGGTCTCGGCGGGACTGGGGAGGTGAAGTGTCCCGCTCTGTCATTGGACGAGACCGTCTCACTCTGCTCAGCTCGCTGCGCTACCATTGGCCGTCTGCGCAGGAACAGAGGTCAATGGTAGCAGCTTTCTTGTGTGTGCCTGTTTTGGCTGGCCCTCTCCAGAACAGAGAGGCGCAAACTCGGGATGATTTCGGACGCATTTTTCCCCTCGCTGCAAAAAACCCCAACAGAAGTTCACATGTGTGGTGGCGCTAATATCACAGGTACTCTACAGTAAATGTTGCAACACAGGAGGTACGAACAGTGCTTTGTGCTTGTCCTCAGCCAGGATCTGATCATTGGGCTTCAGAGAGTACCTGCAGATGATTAAAAAAAAGGGGAGGGAAGGAATACCATATTAATTATTGTGAAAGATTGCAAAAAAAAAAAAAACATTTCCTAAAACATCCAACAGTATTAATCAGAGAGCGATTTCCTTGAAAGAAACACAAAGGTTTGCTGGGGATTAAAGGGCAGTTTTAGTCCTGCTTTAGTGAGGCCAAATTAGACCTGAGGCTGGCCGGTTCAGCTCTAATCCAGGAGTTTACGCAAGGGGCTTCTGACTGGACACGGAGCTGGAAACCAAAGCAGCCCTTTGCCCTGTTAAATCTGGTCCACTGGAGACCGAGAGAGCAAGTCCTCAGGGCAGATTCAAGACTCAGATGAGTCTCTGGATTACTGCAGGACTGATAAGAGTAATTCATTTTGCAGGGATACGAAACAAAGAGCCATGGACTGACAGCTAATTTATGTTCAGGATGCATTAAAGCAATGGATCAGCTGCTTTTTTCTGTGCTTATTGGCTTCCTTCCTTATCGATCACAAACCTAAATTAATCTCTTTCCTCTATAATCTCCCCGTGACCTCTCCGATAACAAAACACAGGATGGCAATTGATCTGGAGTCGCTTACTGCGTACTCATTTTGTTTTGCCTACTTAGAACATTTGCAGCAACAAATCGATAAAAACCACTTGCACGGAAAAATAGATTTCTTTTTTTGTATCGTTTTATTATTTAAACTTACTTGTCCAAGAAGTCTTTATCAACAACAGCACAGATGTCGAGTAAGGGGTTTCCCATCCCAAAGAGCAAGTTGGAGCTGCAAGAAAAACAGAAACGTGGATGAAATTTTAACCGCTGATTAACAAACCGTAAGGCTTCTCAGACAGAACCGTCTTTGAGAGAGAAAAGCTTGATAAATAATTTAACAAATCTAAAAATAACACTATTCATATGTAGTAATCTTACATTATTTAAATTTTTTTATTTAAATTATTAAAATATGCTGCTGAAAGACATTTATTGTTAGAATTATTTTTATTAATGATTATTTTAAGTATTTATATACATTAAATGTGCATGATATCTATTATATTCATGTAATTTTTAAATAATGGACTCAAAACATTTTCCTAAATTAATGTTTATTTCATATAACAGCAGCTACATTTTTTAAATAGTTATCTTAAATCTTAAAATAATCTACAGAACTCAGTATAGAGTGGAGAGACATTGTTTTTCTTTACATTTAGAAGAAAAAGAAAACCCTGAGTGTGCAGTACTACTTTTGCAAAAACTGTAACTTCACACGAGAAAAGCAGAAATAGCGCAAATAAAGCAGATGTTTAAACAGCATTCACACACACACAAAAAAGAGATGCATGTGGTCAGTGGTGAGGATCTGGGCAACCATGCATGCAATTATATTATGACACTCGCAGCGAGCCAGTCCACCGACAGAAGTAAACTGCATATTTCTGCATTTTTCCAAGACAACGAAACTAACCGCAGGGGCAGACCATCTGATAACCTCATGGTCTTGTGATGCCAACAGACAAGAAAATGAAAAAAAAAATAAAATAAAAATATATATATATAAACAGTTACACTGCACGTCTGCACTTTGTATCATGTAATAACACCAGCACCTAAAACCTGTTAAGCACTTGGGTAACCTATTACAGAAAGAAAGAAAGGTTATGAGGTTATGGTGCAACCTCTACTCTCTGAGAACAGACAGAACTAACAAGTTAAAACCCCTGGATTTATTATGAGTAAGCAGACCAGGGGGAATGAGGATATGAGTAATACAGAAAGTCAGAATAGTAATGCCGCTTTTTTCGCTCCTGCAAGCCTGAGCGTACTCGCCGTTTCCATAAACTTGTCGGTGTTTGTGAGAAAACTGCGGATGGCCAAGTGGTGTCACTGACAGATGCTCGCTCCATATGAACATGTGCTGCCATATTTCCCAGGAAGCCTCTCTGATGCACATGGAAGCTTTTCAGGAACCAAACGCAAGGAACTGGTCACCAGAGCTACAGAGAAACGCATCAACATCTGAAATTGACATCTAAACCAGAGGACACCGCACCCTTACTATCATCTCCCTCAACACACCCATCTGGTAGTATGCAGTCTGATGATTAATGGGCTTGTGCAGCCAATTACACTAACCCAGTGCCCAGATCTGCTCTGCTGGTTGTACCTCCATCAGTCTGCTCTTACCTCACAGAAGACATGGTGTTCTTCTCCCCCGCTATGTGTGCACCAGCAAGACACTGACAGACCTGTTGAGCAACCTTTAAAAAAAAACCGGTTCTGAAAAGACTAAGCTTTGGGGGGGAAAAAAACAATTTGAGCTCAGCTCAGCGTGCGGGCGGATCGATTCCTTTCCCCTGCATCTACAGCTCCTCCTACTGGGGACTGACTGATTGGAGGCATCTGAAGAAGGAAGGGCCACGGCAACCTGCCTCTGCCCGATGATTGGCTTGCTTCTCAGACTTCTGCTATGTTTTACTGCACCGCTCTAAGCTTCGTTTCCCCCACATGAGAAGCGTCCCGATTACTGCGGCTTATATGAATTAGGTTCTGATCTGATTTCTTCATAGTGAAACGGGGGGAGAAAGAAGAATGATAACACTGTCCAATGCAGACCGCGTGATCACTTGGCTGTCCTTTGTTGTCTTTGGAGGCTGGCGCAGGATGGATCCTGCGTGGACAGTCTCCAGGACACCGGTCCGGGTATTTCTGAAGCTGGTCATGCTGAACTAAGGTTAAATATTTTCCCAGCTAGCACTGTTGCACTTAAGGGGCGGCTAATGGTTAAATCTTAGCTGTCGGTGTTAAAGAATAACAAGATAAAGACACTTCGCAGGAGGACTGTTTCCACAGCGTTGGTTGAGGAACATTAGACTCGAGACACCACTGCATAAATGGGCAAAGCCGTTATATAAATGGCTAAAGTGTTGCACCTGGGGTAACACTTTACACAACAATTGATTTGGCGCACAAATCGCGACTCGGGTAAACGCTGTTTCGTCCCCTGTTGCTGAAAAACAAAGGAGCCGTCACAGCGGATTTTAGTCACCTTAGTTCGGCAGCAGCCTTTTTGCTCGGAGACTCTGTCTTTTCATCCTCGGAAAGTTTGGGTTTCTTTGCTTTGGGTTCATCAGAAGCCATGGCTGGTCAGGCTGAGCACGTTGCAATCACCTTACGAAAAGCGGTCATGCAATGTATGTGTTGAATTTAAACCCCGAGTACAGACTCGCAGGTATCAATAGCCAAAAGTTGCGTCGTGTTAAATAAATACATAATTTAAGTTAATAGTTATGCAAAGGTTAAGAATTGATTTTACTGTGTCTTCGTATGTTTTAATCTTCGTGTCACATCCACAGTCATTTATAACTTCTCCACTAACTGACAATGTGAGGTTTGTTGTTAAAATGTATTTGTTCACTTAAGAATTGCTATATTTATTTATTAAATAATTTATTATTTTTTAGATTTGTGCATGTTTGCTCATTTTTTACGTGTTTTGTTTCCCATTCAATTGTTTTCTTCAGTGACAAGTGGATTTTGACAATCTTTAGGGTCCTGCAGCAGGACTATGAAATAATTTAGTAAACTCTCACAAAGTAATAGAACCATTATACATGCAATAAAATCACGTTTTAGGAAAAAATAATTCTATCTGTATAACTCATTTCAACACCAAGACAATTATATAATGAAAAAGTACCTTGCAGTGACACAATCAAGGAAAGTAAGACAAAGTTGGGAACTGAAATGAATGTTCCAGTTAATATAACTAGAACTATTTAAACCCCCTCTCTAAACAAGTGAGTTTTAATCTTGATTTAAATGAAATTAATGCTTAAGCATTTTATTTCAGTTTTCTGGAAGTTTGTTCAAGATCAGAAGAGCATTAAAACTACATTGTAATTATTAAGGTACCATAATAATATAACCGTACACGTTGTCGTTTGACCCCTTCTTATCACACTGATTTTTAAGTTTATAAGCTTAAAAATAATGTAACTACTTAAAAATAGCCTTAAAAAGATAACATGGTACAAAGTCTGTGAATTTCCCTGAAAGAAAAGGAAGTGTTTACCACTATTGGAACTACAAATAGTACCTGCAAGACTTTACTCAGGGAATAATCTCTCCACAGCTAAACGCAAGGCGCCGGGTTATAGCCGCCCACAAATTGTGCCTGATTATAAAAGAGGTGAAAAAAGTCTTTAAGGTAGTTAGTCTACTACACTCACTGTTTTTCCAAGCTGTAAAAGACCCATAGAAATATTTGAACACTTAAAAAAATTTTATAGGCTTTATTTTGTGACTTTGACTTTTTTTTTTTACACGTGACCCAGTTGTGTTTACGTGGGCAAACATCTGCAGGCGTCTCCATCAAATCTTGTCAGCACAATCAGCTGCAGTTAGCAGGTAAACTTTTTACAATCTTACAACTTTCATTTTAATATATTATGTTTAACGCTTTAGAATAATCATGACACTTGTAAGTGTCCGATTAATTTGTTTTTAAGAGTAAAGCTGGTAAATGTGTGCGAAGTCCGACTGCTAACCAGACCGAGAAGTCAACTGATGCGAAAGTTAATTTGACTTAACAGGAAGTAAAGCTGGCTAACAACTTGAAATAATAACATTTTGCAGGTATTAATTAGAGTAAGTTACTATAAAACACATGCGAACAAGTTATGCTTGTCAGTCTGCTGATTCTGAGTTGGTCTATTGAATTTTTTTCGGTAGCAAACCAACAACAACCACCTCATCACTGTTCCTGCTGAGATGATCAACAGCCTGTTTCTGATCAGCCACTCTGGAGACATCTTCCTGGAGAAGCACTGGAAGAGTGTCATTAGCAGGAGTGTGTGTGACTACTTTTTGGAGGCCAAGGAGAAGGCAGGGGACCCAGAGAATGTGGCCCCAGTGCTGCAGACCCCACACCACTATCTCATCTCTATCTACAGGGGCAAACTCTTCTTCCTCTCAGTTACCCAGACTGAAGTCCCCCCACTCTTTGTCATTGAGTTCCTGCACAGGGTGGCAGATACTTTTCAGGTGGGAGTTTAAACTATTTAAATTGATCATACCTGTAATAATTAATTTGTTTTCTTTATTTGCAGCAGAATGGATAGTTGCTGCTGCTCTATTTTAAAAAAAAAATAAAAATGTATAGATCAGTTATACAGTTTTTTGTGTTAAGTTTTGTGATAATGTCATGAAGCCGCAGTATTTTTGTCTTAGGATTTTTATTATTTGAAAAAAGTAGAAGCATAACAAAACTATCAATCCACACCTTTTTATGATCTTAAACAGATGACAACAGATGTTAGCTGAGTGTTACACGGTGGTTTTATGGTGGAGGTTGTTATGCAAATGTTTACCTGGAATCCTTATCCCTGCACTCTTTGTTTCCTGTGTTGCATTTGAAAAACGTCTTTTTGCCTTGCATTAGCCGTGTATTTATTAAAAATATTTACACACATTTACAACTGCAAACACATCTGCAGCAACGGACTGGCATTAGATTCTAATGTGTATTGATTGTGAGGAGAAAATACTATAGTTTCACTAGGTTTCCACAAAAATATATAACATGAGCTAATTACTTTTATTCTGAGTGAAAAAGCAAAGGTTATTCTTGCTGCTAAATTAAAGTATGCATTTATTTACATACCAGGTTTTACAGTTATAATCACCCAGCTGGCTAGTGAGCATTATCAGTCCTATTATAGAGCATTTTTCATGTCTACAAGTGTATTCAAGACATTTAAAACAGATGGACTAGCATACTGTAAATAACATATTATCAATGATGATATTCAGTATATTAAAAAAAAATAGGTAGACAAATCAAATAATTACTAAGGATGAAGAACTGATTAAACAAATTTGTGTCCAATTTGACAGCGCTGGAAGCAAATACTGAAATGTGCAAAGATTGTAAAATAAAACAAAAACAAACGATAATAAATACCAAAAGTGATCTTAAGGAAGACTGTTCCAAAGATGAGGGATAATATAAATAAATAACGTAACGCCTCACTGTGAGTTTTATGTCTCATTTTAAGCATTAACAGAAGACCTGGAGGTTCTGATGGGTTTGGGGAATAGATCCAAATAGTACACAGCAACAGGTGGGGGAAGGGATAGTTCTTATGTTTCTCTATATGCCATAAAGCTGAAGAAAACTCATGTCACTCCAGATCTTTCTCTGTCATTTTATTTAAAGGACTCTCCAACATAGGAACAATGTTACAGAACAATTTAGTGGTTTTAAAACCATAAATTGCTAAAACGATGTTATACCTCGATACCACTAACTCCTCATGCCTTCACTTCTATATGTACAAGGGATATCTTGCATTTTTCCAAACGATAAGGGCCAAGTCGTTGTACTGCAGGCAGAGGAGAACTGATTGGAATCACGGGAATGTGGTTTTATTCATGATGCATCAAATTGTTTTGTTGTGCTTCTCCTTTTTTTCAATGAAGCACTGTTTTGGCGTAGAAAAGAGGAATTGTTCTGCAAACGTACCACTATCATTGTCGGCTTTGTGTGACTTAATTCTGTCAATTTGAATGGTTATTCCTTACAGTTAGTGAAAACTTAAACCTCAGTTTCTTACAGAATGAAATAGTTATACAAGAATATGGAGCAAGGTCCATTAAGACCCAGAGTTTAAAAACTGAAAAACCTGCTTCAGTTTTACTTTAGAGACACCAGTCAGAGTTAATCTTCTGTTTTGCCAGAAAGAAATTCCACATGTTGACCCCTGGAGCCGAGAAGGCTGTTCTGACCTCGGTGAGACATTTTTCTTCTTTATCCACAGGATTACTTTGGGGACTGCTCAGAGGTTGTGATCAAGGAGAACACGGTGACTGTTTACGAGCTTCTGGAGGAGATGTTGGACAACGGGTTTCCTCTGGCCACAGAGTCCAACGTCCTCAAGGAGATGATAAGGCCTCCGACCATCCTGCGGTCGGTCGTCAATACGCTCACAGGTAATCAGAGGTCAGCTGAGGCTGCAAGAGCCAAACTATATGTAAAGTCTTTATTCCTAATTGCGTCCTGTGTTTTCCAGGAGGCAGCAACGTCGGGGGAACGTTGCCTACAGGCCAGCTGTCTAACGTTCCCTGGAGGCGGGCAGGTGTTAAATACACCAATAATGAGGCTTATTTCGATGTGATAGAGGAAATCGATGCCATTCTGGACAAATCGGGTAAAACAAATAAACGTATTCAACGATATCATGGAATATATTTGCTAAAGGTTTTAATGCATTTCAGAATGTAACTAGAATCGTGTGGTCTGCAGGTACGACTGTCTTTGCAGAGATTCAGGGTGTGGTGGAGGCCTGTGTGAAGCTCACTGGGATGCCTGATCTCACCCTGTCCTTCATGGTGGGTCCATTTTATTTCAGCATACGTTAGTTGTTGTATTTGACACGGTGTGCCATTAACCGAGTTTTTTCGAATCTTTTAAGAATCCACGACTCCTTGATGACGTGAGCTTCCACCCGTGCGTGCGTTTTAAGCGCTGGGAGTCGGAGCGCGTCTTGTCTTTCATCCCGCCAGACGGAAACTTCAGGCTCATGTCGTATCACGTCAGCTCTCAAAAGTAAGCACAGATGTTGTACATTGACTTACAAAACCATCTTGAGTTTTCCATGTTTTGTTTCAAACTGCATTATGGTGAAGTTTAAAAAAAATAAAAAAATAAATAAAAAATTACTGCGTTTTGGAACCACTTTTTGCCAAAATTACACCTCCTGGTATTTTGTTCAATGTCTTTTCAGCTTTGAACAGTTAGAGTAAAAATGACAATTCTTGAACGCAGCACTTGTAGTAAACCATTTAACATGTAATTGAGCAGCCCTGATATAGAGGATGATTTTTTTATTTCTTCTCAAGGTCAGCCAGGTTGGCTGGAGAATGTGTATAAGAGCATATTCTCTAAATATACTCTCATGTGTGAATCCAGTAGAAAGCCTGGTGCTAATCAGCGTTGACTCATTCCTGACGGAGGCCTGCTCTGTGTGCGTTTTCTGTCCCAGTCTCGTAGCCATCCCGGTGTACGTGAAGCAGAACATCAGCTTCTTGGAGACGGGTTCTTGTGGTCGTCTGGACATCACAATTGGGCCCAAGCAGACCATGGGGAAGTCGGTGGAGAACTTGACGGTCACTATTCCAATGCCTAAATCTGTGCTCAGCGTCAATCTCACAGCCACTCAGGGAACCTACACCTTTGACTTAACAACCAAGGTAATCAGCCAGCATGGCCTTCCTCACCAGTGATGCATGACGGGTAACTGACTTTAATATGCCAGCAATAGATGCTATACTTTAAGTAAAAGCTGGTAGGAACTCAAACGCATCCCCTTTTTTATCTGTCCGATTATGAACACAGGTATTCAAAATTCTATTGGGAGTTTTATGTGTTATGAGTTGAAACTAGATTAAGCTTTTTAATAACAAATGCTGAAAATGAGCTAGGGGTGAAACAAAGGGTCAGTATGTAGAGAAGTCCCCATGTGCCTTCTGGAGTGAGGGTGCTACTTTAGAGGGAACATTGTTAGTACATGGCACTGTTTATTTTTTCTTGAAAATAATATTTTTTTTTCCCTCAATGCATAAATAAATGCACTCCTAAATAAAGCCTTAGTCAGAATATAATTATCCTGTTGCAGTAAAATGGGAATATATCAAAAGACATTAGACATGTCTTTGCCAGGCATGCTAGTAATTGTGGAGGGCAAGTGAAGCATTTTTATATACACCACCGGCTGGTCAGTGCAGATGTTAGAACCTGGCGGTGAGAATAAAAGCGGCGTTTTGTTGTATTACCCTGACCTCAAACACTCGTTCTGTGGTAGGTGGTCCTTTGGGACGTCGGGAAACTTAACCCCCAGAAGCTCCCCAACCTGCGAGGAAGCATCAGCATTCAGACGGGCTCCCCGAAGCCTGAAGAGAACCCCTCGATCAACATTGGTCTGCAGATACAACAGCTGGCCATATCAGGTAACGATCAAAGATCAGCAGGAACTAAAACTGAGCTTTTACTGAAGCTTAACATTTTTATGTGTCTAAATGGTGACAGATGATGATGTCAGAATGTGAACACCGTAATGAACACAGGGGTGTTTAAATCTTGTTGTGAATTTTCTTGTTCAGCTCCTTATTAAAGAACAGCAAGTTGTGCAAGAAGAAGTGAAACGTTGAAAAGTTAGAAGTGCGTTCAAATGTTTAAAGAAGCTGACATTAAGTGAACCTGTAATCGTTTTAACGAAGTTTAGGTTCATCCTGAAATTTCACTTAGGAAATTGGACTTAGGAAAATTACTTGTTTGCTTATTTAATACCATATTAAACAGTGGAGCTATGAAAATAATAATAATAATAATAATAATAATAATAATAATAGGCATTATAAATATGAATATTTAAAGATTAGGTAGTTCTGAAAGACTGTCTCATGGAAAGTTAAAAAAAAAATTACCATGCAATAATTTTGCAGGAGATTTTAGGAAGTGGACATTGTTGTCTTTAGAGCCTCAGAAGTGAGTCTTTGTTTTTCATTATAGAAAGAAAATGATGCATCAAAGGGCCTAAATGTTATAATAAGCAAACACTCAGTATTCCATGGAACTAATTTTAGGATTTTAAAGGTTGAAGTAGCAGTAAATTCATTCCTAATTTGGCTTCCCATCCTCTTTTTCTTTTTTTTTTTTTTCTTTCCAGGTCTCAAAGTGAGTCGTCTGGACATGTACGGAGAGAAGTACAAACCATTTAAAGGGGTCAAATATGTGACTAAAGCGGGAAAGTTCCAGGTCCGGACCTGAGCGAGGCTGGAAAGCTCAGCATTCCGATGCACCAAACAGGGGAGCGAGGGTTACCACACTGCCGAGTCAGCGACAAGTCTTACTATCTACATCTGCATGGTCAATAATGAAGAACTCAGCATTCTAACAGCTATTTATTACACTGCGTAAACCATGCTTGGTATTGTATTTTAAATTTACATGACTGAATAACTTTGACCTGCAAAGGGAAGCCTTAAAATCAATGTGATTTCTGTTGATTGTTGGGTTTAGATGTAACGCATCATATGGAGAATTTTCCATTTGCTGCACGCGTATTTCTTTATCTAACATGCTCAAAATGTTGCAGAAGGGGAATATTTTTTTGCTTTAAAAACAAGCTCCCTGCCTTGCTTTACGCGACATCTCTTGAACTTGAACATTACAGTCTGCGCGCTGCCTTAAGAGTTTGAAGGAATACCTTTGAAAAGGTTTCTACGTGATACTAGTTAGCGGATTTTATTATAATAATTTCAGATGAAACTTTGGGGAAAAATGTATGTACTGCCTACATTCTGAGTGGTTGCGATGCAGATATGTCTGCACACATTCAGCGTTTAATTCAGTGGCCTTGTGAGAGGAGTTGTAAGAGCTCTGTAAACACACACTACAGCACAAGCTGCAAGCTCAGGAGACTTGAGGGAAGTATGTTGAAAACTGTATTATTTAAAGAACACAGTAAAAATGTGACATTGGGATGGTGTGGGTCCGATTTAGTTATTCAGGTGTTTTTTTGGGGGAGAGGGAGTAACTGTAGAAACTACATGTTGTTGAATCCAGCTGTTTTCTCTGAGCAGAGAATTTTTAATCACTATTAGAAAAATATCCTATTTAAGAAGATAATGTAAGAACCTCTAAACCAGATGCCTTATTGTAAAATCTTTATACTCCTCCTTGTGTGTTTTTTGTTGTCTTTGTATCCAAGCTGCCAGATTAGCTTTTTGTTTGAAGATCCTTTTTGCGGTGCCTTTCTACATGCTGAATTTTCTCCTGCTATTTTTGTGTAAACTTTTATCCCAAAATCTAAATGAGACATTTGTCCAAAGCTCAAATGTTGAATATGATGAAGAAAATGTAATAAATTACCTTCCAATCATGTGCCACAAATCTAGATTTTTTTTTGTTAACATGACTCATCTGTTATATTTTGAACGCATCTTCTGAAATGCAGCTAGTGATGTTATTCAGAGATGAAGTGAGGAAACGTTGCAAATTGACATCGGAGGCAGAGAGGAGCGCCGCTTTTCTGACCTCGGTTGTTTTATGCATTAAAAACATGTCGACTCTTGTTTTTATTATAGTCTTTATTCTTTCAAGGCACAGCAGATGTTGGCAGGGCTACAGGCTATCGGAGTACATTCAGAGTGTGGATTAACGTCTACGACGTACAGCTCCACACGCCGAGTCTGTGACGACTACAGTACGCCTCTTCCCCCCAAAAAGAAAGAAAACGGGTAACAGTCTGTGCTGCAATTCAGAACTTCATCCCTAATCATACCAGGGACGGCTCAGTAATAGTGTTAAAATGAGACTACACACACGCACACTGTCTCAATGAGACATGTACATTTACCCACCCAGTTTTTTATTTTATTTTTTTTAAAAGAATTTGTTAATGGAATGAAAATATGCATTTACTCCTTTAGTTGTAAGTACAGTTCTGGTTGGAAATTTCCATACACTCATCCTGGGCATAAATGCCATGTTTGTTTTTTTTTTTTTTTTTTTTTTTGTCTTTTAATGATTAATTTAATAAATACATAAAGCAGATTTAAAGATCTTTCTTCAGCTGCCATGGTCGCATCCAGGGAACTGGTAAGGAGGTTAAAAAAAACCTCCCAAAAAAACAGGAACCCTCAAGCCAAAAACATCTTGTAACACCACCGTAGTTTTACATCAGCTGAGAGGAAAGAAGCCTGATGATTTCTGAAGAAAATAAGTCTAGGGAGACAAATACTGAGCAGTTTTGGCACAAAAAGAAGAATGTTTGGAGGAGGTAAGGTGGGGCTTTTAAAAAGAAAAAGAGTGCAAGATAGACTCAAGCTTGTGCAGTTGATTCTTATCTTAAAAGCCATTAAAGTTGTCTGAAAAAAACAAAAAAAACAAAAAACAAAACTAGATCAAATAAATTGTCAAGAGCAAGAATGACATTTATACTGATGAGTGCAAGTAAACTTCTGACTGGGTCTGTATGTGACATCAGTTTTTTCTTTCAGCTTCTTTTAATTAACAAACTTAAACCACTAACGATTATTTAAATGTTTAAATCTTTAAAAAATATAGTTTGTTGCTCTGGTTATTACAGAACTACTTCTCAAAACCACCGGGGTCATCTAAAAAAAAAAAAAAAAAAGTAAAAAGAAAAATTGCATCAGAGAACTCAGATTGGGACGGCTAAAAGCTACGTTTGCTCTGATACTGTAAATCCCAAACAGTTCAACTGTTGCAGAATGCAGCCACAAAAGAACTACAATTAGATAAAAAATGCAAAGCAGAGAAAACATTCAAAAAGCTTAGTTTTTTGAGTTTTTTTTTGCTAGTAACAAACATCAACCATTACTACAGCATCTTTAATGAAACTGCATTATTTTTTTTTATAATAACCTGGATTTTGAGTGTTCAAACAATTCAAAGGGACTTGTAAATAATGCAAAATAAATCCTTTGGCATCATTAAATGTAAAAGTTCATAAAAGTAAAGGCATGTTAATCAGCTAAACTTCACTTTCTCACAAATCAATACTGCCACCTTTTTAGATGTTACTAACTTTTAATAACCATTTTTTTATTTTTAAACCCACAAGATCTTTTCGTTACTGAAATATAAACATCACCAGTGGCAACAGTGATGATGCACCTCTGTTGATTTCATAAATTTTCAGATGACTGAAAGTAAACATGAAGCTCACTCAAGACTCTTCATTTTAGTCTCAAACTTGGTGAATCCTCTATGAAGCAGACAATTATTGTATATACAACATACATTACAAAACCAGGACTGAAAAACAATGCAAATTTCAAACATCCTCTAAGCGTTGAGAGTCTCCATGTCAGAATCTGCTGTTAGAAAATAGAAAATGAGTCATGCAAAAAATATATACCTAGGATTTAGATAAAGTCTAATAACCCAAAATACCAAAAATATATATTAAAAAGTCTCCTGATAGACCTGTGTGTTTCCACAGTTGAGGACCAAAGCGAGCCAAGCTAAATTCCCACCCATAAATGAAACCTGCATGGTAACAAATCAAAGACTCCTGCCTAAAACTACAGGGGAGAATGGCTCAAAATCCTGCAGTTTCCCCTCGATACGCCTGCTCAAAATGAGAGCGGCCGTTGCTACTTTTACTCGGCGAGGGCAGGTAAGTTCATTGGTACCAAGGCGTCTTGCGCACCCAGCGGAGGGTGAATCCTGCATCTGTGCGGATCTTAATGGAGGCAGCTTCTGCTTCTCGCACCGTCTCCTTTACGGACTGCATCAAATTCTGGGCATTGTGGACCAGCATCTCCGTGGCCTGGAATGGGAATTAAACGAACGAGGAGCTGTCAGTGAATATGTAACAGGATAATACTGTTTTCCTGAAGTGCAGACGTGTCATTCTTGTGCTACCTGCTCTGACTCCTCTTCACTAATGTTTGTTCGTCCCAGCATGGTAGCTTTGACGGTGGAAAGGATCTTCAGCTGAGTGCTGATGGTGGGAATTCGTTCACAGACCTGCACAAACGGAGATCGTTTAGAAACTACAGCAGTCACAGTTTCAGATTAAGATTAATCTAGGAGATCTGGTCAAAGGAGTATTAGAAAACATTTATTTATATTTTAGTTCAAATACGAATTTTGAAAATTATTCATATTTTTCCCTCAAATGTCAAAAGAAAAATCGTACTGCCATTACAACACTCAAACATCTGAGCAGCTTTCTGCATGTTTCACCAGGTGTTTTGCTGATGTACCTTGATTCGAAGCCCTCCTCACCATAACCCTAATCTTTAGCTTCCCATGCAGATCTTCCAGTAAATTCAAGTCTGGATTCTGGTTGCTCCACTCAAAAACGTTAAACAACTTACATTAATACTAAATGTAAGTTAGTCTAAATATTAGTAAATATATATATATAAAAAAAGACTTTAAACCTGAGTCAAATCTGCACTAGTGTATGAATAATTTTGGGCCTATCTGTATTTTTTTTTTACCTGCAGCAGGTTCGTCCTGATGCGTCTGTCTGTGCACTGCTTGGCCACTTCTTTAGCCAGTCTCGTCACCTCATCCGAGGCCTTGGCGATGTCTTTTGCGCACTGAATCAGCGCTCGCTTGTTTCCGCTCCCGCCACGCACCAGCCGAGACATTTCAGCCATCAGCAGAGCCATCCGCTTGGCTGCTGCTATGATGTCATTACCCTGTGCAGAGAAAAAGGCGGGTGGCAAGAAGTCAAAGCAGCCGTAATCAGAGGAGCAGGGCGTTGCAAAGCATTCACTGGTGAGCCGTGTCTTTGCAAAGTACTCTGATAATATAATGTAGAACAACAAAATAGTGCTGTGAGGTAATGAATGAAATGACCAAGACAAGCATCAAATGTAAGGATGTTTAACAGCCCACTGCATGCAGTATCCCAGCCGTTCATCACGTTTTTCACTTTTAACGATCATCCTGACATCACAGTCAAACTGAGGTTAGTTCCTGCGAGGTAATGCTGTGGTGCTGAGATGATTAGCGCAAATTTGAAACGACAGGAAGCTGAAGCGGGTTTTCATACTGAGTAAAGCAGATGGTTAGATGTCAAAGCTGCATCACCCTGGAGTCTTTAGGAAACTGTCATCCTTGGCCTTACTGGTTGGCCAGCCGTAGCAACAAGAGTGAGACTGAAGCTCCTCCACTGAACCGTTTTATTCATGAACATGTGGAGAGGACAGTCGTTGACCCACTGTGAAACTTTAGCAATGGGATCAGCATACCTGTGTGTGTCAGCCATCTCTGAGTAAAAAAACAAACAAACAAAAACACAGCAGCAGTGAAACAGCAGCTGCAGCTGGTGGGGCATGTCCATGGTGGGAGATGCACAGCTGATGGTTCACACAGCCACGGTCACCGTCTGCTAAAACTCCAGGAAGTGTTTCTCGTCCTGCATGGCCGTGGTCTGCATGCTTGGGTGTGCCGTGCCTTGCAGCAGTATTCATACCTCTCAAAGATTTGAAAATTTTGCCACCTTGCAGCAACATCTCTGAATGCGCTTATATAGATTTTATGGAATAGACCGACAATCGCCAATAGACCAAGTAGTGCACACTTCTGAAGTAAAAGAAAATGATGTGTGGTTTTCAAAATCGAGACGTGCTAAAAGACAACGGCTCCTCTTTAAAATTAAAGCCACATGTGGCAGAAAATTTTTAGGTTTTTAGGTTTTTATTTTCAATTAAAAGAAAACTGAAAACCACATATCCTTTTCCTTTCACTTCAGAATTATGAACTACTTCAACATCGATCTGTATGAAGTCTTTGGTAGTGCTCAATTTAAACATTTTAAACGGGTTTGAATACTTTTGCATTGCAGTGTATTTCAGGGTGTGTGTGTGGGTGGGTGTGTGAGTGGGCTCAAACAGGGCTAGTAGATTCTCCCAGTAGTCTCAAACCTTGGAAACCGTGTGTGTGTGTGTGTGTGTGTGTGTGTGTGTGTGTGTGTGTGTGTGTGTGTGTGTGTGTACGCTCATGTGCATGTACGTGCGCAGACCTTGCTGGACCACTTGCGAGCCTCCTGGTGGAGAGACTGGGCAGCTGCCAGAATGGGCTGATTGACAGGCTGGTTGGACGGCATCATCAGCAGCTCTGGCTCATAGTCATCCTCACCATCAGTAAACTCATCTTCATCATCTACCTCCCTCTCCTCTACTGCCTCCTCATCCTCAGGCTGGGCCAGGCGGGGAGTAAGACGAGTGGAGGGGCGGGGGGTTTTTGTGGTGGTCGGAGGATTGACGGGAAACAGGGAGGGAAGGACAACCAAAGGCAGAGGAAGGGGGAGAAACAAAGGAGGAGGAAGGGTAGGGGGAAGCAAAGGGAAAGCAGGTGGAAAGGGAGGCATTTAGTTCAGTATGAGCAGCACTGAATGAAAGAACAGAGGACAGGTAGTTTAACAGAAGCATGGTGAAAGAACAGGGATAGGGTGGTGAAACGGCACGCCAAAGGGGCAAAAAACAGCTTTGATGGGAGAGGAAAAGAAAAGAGGACAGAAGAGATCTGCAAGGAGGGCTGCGAGTGCATGACGTGCCTGAGGGGATGGCTGAGTGGACAGTTCAATGATCTACCAACAAACAGGATCTAACTGCACCCAAAGTCAGCGCCTGCCTTATTACTGGTAGGCTAAAGAGTTGAGCAGTGAGCATGACAGAGCACCTTAATGAATTAACTTTTTTTTTTTTTTTTTTTGCACCTCTTTTCAAACAGATTTCTCATGTGAACAGAAGATCAAAATCAGCTTTTTCAAAGAAAAAAAAAAGCTTCAGAGGAACTGAAAAGGAGAAAAGTTATGAGACACAAAGAGATGATAAGAGGATCCTTGGTTATCCTTGTTTTTATCCTCAGTGACGAAACTTGATCATGAAGTGCCAATGCTAATAAATCAATCAATGCAACATCAGGTCCTATATTAAGAAACACCTCAATATAGTATGCGGAACAGACTCCTTGTTTTATCCTTTTGTTATGCACTTTTCTTACATTTCTCCATGTAAGTGCGCGTGCCTTCAAACCGAACAGATGACAGTTTCCAGTTTTCCTCTGAAAGTGGAGTCGAACCGCCGAGCTCCACATTTCAGGACAACAAAAGAAAACTTCAGATTTTCTCAAAGGAAATCACAGGAAAAGCATCTTGGTGCCAATGGAGAGCAATGGTTCCGCTCTGCAACAGTAGCTTAAATATTTTCACTGAAACAGACACTTGGCATAGATTTTTTTTTCTGTAAAGTAGTATTTATGAGTGTGTTTGTTTGAACTGACTTTGCTTGACCACTTGCGCGCTTCGTCGTGCAGCTGCCTGGCCGCCACCATCATGGGTTCGCTGAGCACCTCGCCGACCTTTTGCTCCGGGAACTCCTCGTCCTTCTCCTCCGGGGGAGGGGGACGGGGCGGAGGCACCTCGCCCTCCGGCAGTGGGGGTTTAGGCGGAGCCTGCTCGTCGCTAACCTGGAAGAGCAGAACTTTACACTCATCTTCATGTTTTTTACCCCTCATAATGAGCATGAATTTCTTACTTTTCTCTTCTTACTCAAACCTTTCTCTTTCCCAGAACACGATCATCTTTAAAAGCAAAGAGTCGCTTCACAAGTTTAAATTTATTCTGTTTATTTTTTCTCTTAATTTCCACAAATGTCAATGTTTCATGCATGCCAAATCAAAAGCAGGTATTTCTCCTAACATTTCAAAACTGTATTTTTTGTTTTTCCTTGACAAGACGGAGACCTGCAAGTTTAAAATTAGAAAGCCTAAAGGACACAGTGATGATCGAAGTAATTTCCAAACAGCTGCAGTGTCTCTAAATTCTCGAATTTTAACTCAAAGATGGTTGACTCTAGTTGGAAAAAAAACTCAAAATTTATGATAAGAGGTTCCCAGATACATCTACTCTGGTTTTGTAGAAGAAAAAGTGCGCTAATGTTAAATGTGCTCCCTGGACAAACCTTGAACATAGTAAAAATCGTTGAACTTTGGTTTAAAAAGACATTTGTATTCAGGGTGGCTTTTGCTTAATGCACTTTTTGTTTTAGTTATTCTGCAAATACAATTTTACTTACTTACTTAACTTAAAAACTAGAGAAAAAAAAATAATATAAATGTACTTGGGTTAAAGTTTAACCCAAATATCAATTAGATTAATAATGTATATAGATTATCTGCTCCAAATAACCCAAACATATTTACTAGAGCCTCTAAATATGTTGCAGCACCTAATAAATTCAAACTCCACTCATATCTTGTTTCTAAAAAATTATGGCAGTTGTTTGATGTATGATCCTTACAATCTGGAGAAATAGTGTCTCAGATATAACAACTAAAACTAGAGGAAGGCAGACAGTTTGAGTAATTCGTATGTGCCTACATGGAGCTGGTCCAGGTCAGGAGGCGGAGGCGGGAAGTCTGGTTCCTGAGGCTGGAAGGCTTCTCTGACTTTTCCCACTGCAGCCAAGATCCTTTGACAAGAGTCCAAATATGCTTTCTGTAGACCTGTGACCAAAATCATTCAGAAGAGAAGGAGGTGAGAGAGAAAATAACAGCAACTCATTATTGCAGCATCCTTACAAGGCTGCATTTGGAGCAGTAACCTTTGTCTTGTATGTTCCCGGCCACAGCCTTGGCGTCCATCACCATGGGTGAGATGGTGTGTGAGAGGATGTCAGACGCATGTTTTACGGTATCTCTGAACCGGGGATCTTCAGAGTTCTCCACTTCCCTCTTGGCCACCAACAAGACCCGGTTAGCTCGTCTCGCTATGCTCGTTGCCCCGGCAACGAGCATTTGGGGCTGAACGTTTGCCATGGCAACTCGGCACTTGTCAATGTCTTTTTTAATGGCTTCCTCAGAAGCATCCAACAAGGATTTGGTGTCTATGGCTTCATCGACCAGACCTAAGGCACACATGGACGAAAATGCACAATCAACTGAACATGCAGTTGCTGAAATTGCAGTGAAAATTTAAATTTAAAGCGGGTCAAAAAAGCCCTTACCGGTCAGTCTCTCCACATTGTCAATCCACTGGTTCTTCATGGTGTCAAAGTGCTCATAGGCCGCTTTGTTTCCTGGATTCTTTAGCAGGATCCGAGCAGCGGAGGTCACCTGGAGATAAGCAAACACAATGCGCTCGGATTGAGTTTGACAACCATGTGCCTCATCAGTCTGCATCATTATGCAGGCAAAACTAAAATAAACAGGCACACCTGCGGCGTCAGCTCCCTGGCGTGTTTCACGGCAGCATGAATTCCCTCCACGGTGCTCTTATTCGCTGTTCCCACGGCGGCGGCCTTCTCTGCGGTTGCTCCCAGTCGTCCCGCGTGGGTTTCAAAGTTCCCTGCACGTTCTTCGAAGACCTTCGAGAAACACTTGTTTAGGTCTAAACACATCAATCCTTTTTAGACAATAACATCAAACAAGTCAGGCGTGATAAGAGAACAATTGTTTGGAGCTGAGACCGTGATTTCTTTTTTTGTGGTTGTTGTTGTTTTGTTTGTTTACTGACCTCCTGCCTGTTGGGCGCATCAGGAGGAGCAGTTGCAGCCACCGCCAGCAGCTTGACGGGCGTGGTGGTGTCGCTGAAAACATCGGATACCTCCTGGGTCATGACCTCCTGCATATGCTGCCTCAGGTCCTGGTAGAAGCAGAGAGTGCTGCATCTATCCACAAGATGGAGCTCTGAACTAACGCTTTTTGTTACATCATCCTTAATGACTGAGTTTTATCTATATTTCTTGCAGGATTATTTTCTCCACAGTGATTGTCAGGCAACTTTATGATCTTAACTTGAGTTCATTTTATGTTGAACAATAAGCCCAAGAAAAGCTTTATTTAAATATAATCCAGTTTTTCTTTTTTTAAGTGCAGCGATACCTTGAGGGTGTCCTGCAGTTGTGCCGCTGTGGCTCGTGCATGAGGAGCCTCAGCCTCTCCCCTGTTCGCCATGTCTGCTAAAGCTGTCATCAGCCCCTCTGTTCGGTCGCAGCGCCCGACCATGTCCTGTCGGTATGGACCCAGCAGGCCTCCCGCCAGCCTCTTCCCTTCTCCAACCATTCCTCTGATTGCTGCCTGGCCTGTGGAGTCACAAGAAAAATATCTAAGGACAAGAGTACCTTACTGGTGCTCAGTCAGAACAATGACAAGTGAATGTTAAGGCAACGGTGTCAAGTTACGCTTTGCTCTCGCAGATAAGAAAAATGACTCTTTCTAAAGCTATAGACAGCAGTGGCTTGGAAACATTCAGTCACTCTTTTTTTTTACAGTGACATTATTAAAACTACAATTAAAAAGCTACAATATTTGTTAAGATCACTGTACGCTACCTAAGCTAAGCTACTAGCTTAATGAGATAATAGTAGCATGGCAGAAATGCAAAACATTCAGCAATTCAAAACTGCTACTAATTTTAGCACATGGATATTCCACCAATTCTATTACTTTTTATCATATGGTGAGAATCTCAAAGCGGCCCGTGCATGAATGTTATAGTGTTTCATTTTATCTGTCAACATGGCTGACAGTGAGCAGGTACCTGTGTTCCACTCTATCCTCTCACACTCTGCTCCCAGAGGGAAGCATGGGAAAGAGAGGAAACGATCAAAAGACAAGGCAGGAAGACAGCGGAACAAAGGATTAGGAAACAACACTCTGACAGAGTAAACCGAGTCATTTAGTGAATCATGCATGAGTTGAATCACAGTGTGAATGGCAGTTTCCTGAGCGAGTCACTTGCTGTCATTACAGCACAGACAATAAGCATCCCACATCTTTCATCACTGCGTCTAGTAACTGATGCAAACCGTCCACTACTTCTGCACAGAGTCCACAAGAAGAAAACACAAAAAGGCAGAACACCGTTGCATCCTTTCAGCCACGATGCATGTGAACGCACCTACGCCTCTGTCATCCACCCCGGGATTATTCACCCAGCGCAGAGCCTGCTCCATTTTACCCTCCAGCGTGACAGCAGGCTTCGCTGGTCTCATGTTGGCCACCGCCCTGTTGGTCTTGGACTGCAGGTTCAGCAGAGCCGCTCCAATCTGCTTTGCCAGAGCTCGGGCCTCTGGACTGTCGCCTTTACCCCTGTCATGGTAGCACATGCAGTAAATGACTTCATTGGAGGAAAAAGGGAATTTACGATACATAGAGAAAAAACGTTTTTTAAATCTGGCCTTCATACCCATCACCTGGCTAAGGTCTTGCTTATTAACATGTTAGACGGTTTTTTAAAAAGGGAAATACCTTTTGCAAGCATTTATTTCAAATTTGACCTGTATCTTTCCAATAAAATGAATGTTTTAAAAAAGACAAATAATTTCTCCTTTCACAAAAAATGTAGAAATATTTCCAACACCAATCTAACAGATTAAAGACTTAAATTAAGTCTTTACTTTGTGTTCCTGGAAATCACACAGGAATGATGTGTGTTGATGCATACGCCCTGTTCCAGATTAGATCAGGCTTGATAATTCAGCTGTGTATACAAGCACAGCCACTTAGCTTTCTTTTATCATTTAAATGTATATCTCTCCTCATGACTATCCAGTGCTGTATTTCAGTGGGTTGCAAAAATATTTATACCATTAAAACCTCAGAGAATTACATGACTTATGTGACAGACTGAGGGAAAGTATGCATTTTCCATTTTGATGACCATACAACTTATAGTCAGGAGCGACTTATATGTTTTTTCCCCACTTTAGGATGCATCTTTTGACTGATGCATTACATATAAATTAATACTGATGGTTATTATCATCTGCAGTCATGAGAAAAGCTAATCATGGGCTGAAAGTCAGATGGCCAGAAATAGAGAAATGAGGCTACAACTGGATTTAATTTGTGACTCAAAGCAGAGAACATTTTTGTTCAATATATGTAGTATATACTTTTGTCACACATATATTTATACATTTCGAAGATGTTCCTCCCATTTCACAACTATACACCAGTATTGGTCTATTACATAGAGTCCTACTGAATATACATGGAAAGGCAACTGTAGCAGCTATTTTGCGGCGTTTATCCTTTTTCGATCAGTTAAGCAGCTTGTTTATTAAGTAATATTTCCCTTTAAATTCTGTCCGTTATCCTCCTTTAAGTGACACCACGACCCTTTTCACCACATTTAAAATAATCGTAGGAGTGATGGGTGCGGTTCACAAGCAACAACACATTTTCCACGTGGATAAAAAAAAGCCACCTATCGGTGGCTCGTGGTTGCAGACTCCATCTAGAAGAAAAGGCCCTACGAATTAAATATTTAACCTTAATTACTGTTTATGCTTGCAGTCAGAGGAAATCATACTGTTTGCGCAGCTCCATGAGCCGGGCGGTGAGTCCTGCTATCTCGTTTATGGAGCGCAGGATGTCGTCCCTCTCCTTGGGGTCTTCACAGAGGTCTGCGATACGTTTGGCCTCCGCTAGAAGCGCTCGGATGTTCTCCTCTCCCTCAGGACCACCATTAGGATCGGCCAACCATGCCTGAAAAAGCAGGATGTAGCAGCATTTACATGTGATGTACAACACTGAACACAGTATGAGCTTTTCTTGAAAATAAACTGAAAAAAAATAAAATAAAATAAAAAAAACTGGAGGAAGCTGAATGTTTGTTTATCTGACCTGGGCAGCATCCAGCCTCCTGGCAATGGCCTGCTTCGCGTTGATTAGAGCCTCCAGTCTCCGAGCAGCACTGTCCACTTTGCCAAAGAGCAGATCTAAGCCCTGTAAGCACTGGCCTGCGCGCTGCATGCAGCCTGGAGTCTGGCCCTGGCCTCTGTCAAAACCCACAAATACGGTCAACCGAAGTACGAGATCAGAATATGCAACTTAAACACACAGAAGGAGGAAGCACACACAAACACACTACCTGACACGCAGATCCCCAATCTGATCAGTCATCTGCCCCAGAGCCCTGCTGGTCGCCAGTATGTCTTTCCTCTCCCTCCCAGCGCACAGCTCTCCCACCTTACCAGCTTCGTCCAGAATGACACGCAGCGCCACCTCGCCAGGGTCTCCTGAGGAGGACAGAGAGGCGGAAGCACAGAGATGGGCATGTTGAATGAAACGAATGTGTTCCAGCTGAAGGTTTGTAGATGCCAAGTCTGAATCCAGGGCTACCTGGCTGTCCTTGTGGGTCTTTGAGCCAGCTTTTGGCCTGCACCATCTTTGATTCGATCAAAGCCAGAGATCTTTTCAGGGCCTCCATGTCCTGAAGAAAAAAGAGAAAACAATGATGTGTATTAACTTGGAGTTTAGCTGTTTGATGCAGGATAATATATATGAAGCTATTTCTACAGCTACGGTATGGCCTGTTGAGTTTTGGACTTGTAAGGAAAAATTCTGTAATCGAGTTTTTGGAAACTGGGTACCAAGGCTTAAGATTTAGGACATATATTGTTTCAAAACTAATGAATTTTACACTACTACTACTATTAGACTACTGCAGCATTGCCCCTCCCCCACTAGTGCTGTGCATGGTCAGACGGCTGAAACAGGGATATGACACTTTCTCTCTCTTACAAGAAAATATATTTTGAAATATATTTTTAAGTAAAACCAGTCATGGAAATTGCCAACAGCCTTGATTTGGGAAACTAAAGAGACCTGCCCACCCGTCGATCTGTTAAGCAGTCATCTGCAGGCTGCAGATATCCTGATTAATTAACAAGCTAATCTAAGCTTGTTAGATTTGTTTACTCCGTGAAGAGAAGAATGGCAATGTCTGTAAAACAGGGACATTTTCTTGAAAGGGTTAATAAGAGAACATTACTTTTATAAATACTACTACCACTACTGCTATTACTAATAATATTAGAATAACCTGCGGATAGGAACCGATGTTCAACTTTCAAATCAGGCAGTATTTGTTGAGACATATGCCTGTGTCCTATATTAATAAGTGTCACCAAAATGAAGTGTTTTTATTTAGCTTAAAACATGCAATTTTATTTAAAAAGCAGAAGACCGAATGTAGTGGTATAGAAATATACATCATTTC